CGGCAGGGGCACCATCGCACTTGAGAAACACATTGGGTCCACCGTCAAATATCGGCAACAATGGCGACCGAAAGCAAAGTGCCAATTAAGTCCGACGAGGACCTCAAGCGCGGATCTTCTGATGATGTCGAGGCCGCCTCTTCACTGCACTCCGCCCAAAATGGCAGCAGTGTGGTCGTTGACCCGGAAGGAGAACGATCGTATGGTAAGCTCTTGTCAAAGACATCTTTCTTCGTATTGACGCTGACATTATGCCGCTTTTAGTGAGGAAGCTCGACTTCTATCTATTGCCGTATCTTTCTCTCATGTACTTTTTCAATGCGGTCGACCGCTCCAACTTGGGCAACGCCAAAACCGACGGGATTGAGAAAGACCTCAACTTCAAAGGAAATGAGTACAGTCTACTCATTCTTCTCTTCTACATCCCTTTCGGAACACTAGATCTTCCTCTTAATCTCCTCACAAAAAAATTCTCCGCAAGATGGGTCTTGCCTACGTTGATGGTGGTCTGGGGCGGAATTGCAACCGTTCAAATCGCATCAAAGAACTTCGCTGGGATCCTGGTACTCCGCCTGATTCTCGGCGCATGCGAAGCCGGCTTCTTCGCCGGCGTAGTTTTCTACTTCACATTATTCTACAAGCGATCCGAGCTCGGCTTTCGTGTCGCCATCTTTTTCGGCAGCGCTCTTCTTGCCGCGGCCTTTAGCGGCCTCATTTCCTACGGTGTTTTCCAGATCGAAGGCACCAAACTCCAAGGCTGGCAATGGCTCATGCTCATTGAAGGTGTCCTGACCGTACTCGTCGGTGTCGTAGCCTTTTGGTGGCTGCCAGCTTCTCCGGCAACCGCCTGGTTTCTCAACGACAGAGAGAAGGCCGCGGCTTTAGCCAGGACCCTCCGCGATGGTTCCAACAAAGTGGACACGAAGTTTGACTGGAAAGAGTGTTTCACGCTATGGAAGGATTGGAAGTTTGTTTTCTGGCTTTCCATCGCTTTCAACTATCCTGTTGCTTTTGCCACGACATCCAACTTTTTGCCGCAGATCGTACAGCGTCTCGGCTACAGTGTCGTCAAAACAAATCTCTGGACCGTAGCCCCTAACGCTGTCGGTTTTGTGATACTCCTCGCGACAGCATACTCCTCCGACTACTTCCACGAACGGACCTTTCACATCGTCGGTGCCTTGGCAACCTCCTTGGTGGGCATGGTCATTCTCATCGCCATCGATGTTTTGGAAAACCGAGAATTGGCTTACTTTGCCTGCTTTCTCATGGCTGCAGGGGCCTATACACCTTCATGCCTGGTTCAGTCATGGCACAATAACAATAATTTGAATGAGAATAGCCGCGCTGCCACAACAGGTTTGCTCGTAGGTCTAGGCAACTTTGCTGGAATTTTATCGGCTGCAACGTTCCGGACCGAATATGCACCCAAGTACATTCCTACTCTCATTGTTACTTGTTGCTGCAACGTGTTGGCAATGGCATCGGCATTGATCCTCGGCGGCTGGATGAAATTGGAGAATCGGCGGAGGAACAAGGCCCAGGGAGTCAACCTTCAAGCTCAGGATGTTGATACATCAGAGTTGCATGACGGCGAGAAATCGCCAAAGTTTCGATTTTTCACTTAAAGTAGTCCTGCTGTAGACCTACCACGACTAGTAGAGAAAGCCAACCACAAATCATTGATCGTTCGATAGAATTTCCCAATTGTAGGACTAGACCCATCTCTTAAAGTCTTTCAATATTCTCATATCGCACAAGTCAGTTGGATTGACATGGTACTTTGAGCTGATGAAGCCATCTGGGCGTTCAACACAATTATGGGCATGGGCTCTATGCCACGTTCAGGAAGGTGGTAGTGAGAGGATCATCATCCTACCCATCGGCAAAGGTCCGATTGAGTAATCCCACAACGGACTTTGGCTAACGTGCGGGATTTCGCGAGTGGGGGAATATCGGCTGGCTGAGAACATCCACTTGTAAACCGCCGCAACGACTTAGGACAAGGTCGCAAACCCCGTGTTCATCCGGCTGGCCTATCGGCACCCGCATATCAAAACTGGAGACAACCTGCCGACCAGATAGGGGAATGTAAGTCTATCGCGGACTTTAAGCTCGGTACAACGTGAGGTGTATCTATCTTCATCCTCTTTGGACAGGTCTTTGTCTTCTATACCATTCTCGTCATCTTCATCGTCATCCTACCAGCAATCATGGCTGTGCTCAATATCGTCGAAGCCTCAATCGAAGATTTACGGAATGCTTTGAAGAGCGGTTCAATTACCAGCGTCGAGCTTGTAGCGCGTTTGCTTCGCCGCATCAGCACTTACGACTGTCGAGGCCTTGCCCTGAATTCGATTCCGATCCTTAACAATGACCTTTTCGAACAAGCTGCCAAGTCTGATGACCGAAGGGCATCTGGCGAGAAAGTCAGGCCCCTCGAGGGAATACCTTATACGGTTAAAGACAGCTACAAAGTCAAAGGCATGGTTGCCGCTGCAGGATCTCCTGCTTTCGAACATTTGATTTCCAACGAAGACGCTTTTCTTGTGAAGCTCATTCAAGATGCTGGCGGGGTGCTCATTGGACGGACAAACATGCCTGCCATGGCCTGCGGCGGTATGCAGCGGGGCATCTGGGGAAGGGCCGAGAATCCTTACAACCCAGACTATCTGGCTGCGGCATTTGCTTCAGGTTCATCCAACGGATCGGCTGTTTCCACAGCAGCATCGTTCGCAGCTTTTGGGCTTGGGGGCGAGACCGTCTCATCCGGCAGATCGCCTGCTTCCAATAATGCGCTTATCGCTTACACTCCCTCGAGGACCTTTCTGTCAAATCGCGGCAGTTGGCCTTTGTATCCAACATGCGACGTACCAGTGCCTCATACAAGAAGCATGAAGGATATGTTGACTCTCCTGGATGTCATTACTGCACCAGATCCAGTTGCCAAAGGCGATCTCTGGCGAGAGCAGAGAAGCGTCCAATTACCGCAACCTTGGAAGGACCGGCCTGAGAGCTTCAAAGACCTTGTCTCGTCTGATTCGTTGTCTGGACTGGTTGTTGCTGTGCCAGAGATCTTCCTTGGTGGACCGGTACCTGAAGGAGCAAAGCCTATTCAGACGAGTCCGGCAGTTATTGAACTTTGGAAGCAAGCACGAAAGGATCTTGAGTCGCTTGGGGCGAAGATAGTGATGGTTTCCGATTTTCCGGCCTTGACAGCTTACGAAAATGACAACCTTCTGCCGGAAAGCTGTCCTCGAAGGCTGGCGGACTGGCATGCTACTGAGAGAGGAGCTTTAGTAGCACACGCTTGGAACAACTTCATACAAGACTTCAATGATTCAAAGCTCCCGGATATCTCTGCAGTGGACACGTCGAGGATCTACCCAGAGAGTATGAGGACGGAGCCGGAACTACAACACTTCGAGACGCCCAACGCAATCCAGTACCACCGGCTGGCCGAATACGCCAACAAAGGGACTATTCTTGATGTAGAAGGTCTGGATCAAGCTTTAAAAGCTCTTGAAGGCATGCGAAAGGTTCTGCTTGAGGACTGGCTCACGGAAATCGGGTGCGATTGCGTTGTTTTTCCCGCTGCCGGCGATGTCGGACCTGCTAACGCAGACTCGGACTTTGAGGGGGCATCGCTGGCTTGGCAAAACGGCGTCCACTACAGCAACGGGAACAGAGCCATTCGACATCTCGGCATTCCTACAGTCTCAGTTCCAATGGGCATCTTGGGAGACAAGCATGTGCCGATGAACCTCACGTTCGCTGGCAGAGCTTACGATGATGTCGAGCTCCTGAGATGGGCGAACGTTTTCGAGACCAAAACAAAACACCGAATCCCTCCGCTGTATACGCCATATCTCGATTCTGATATTATTCGACTTTCAAACAGCGAGAAATACAAATCGCGAAGGCCAAAACTGAGTATAAACACGTTCACTGCGGTGCCAGCGAATGGCGACACCAAATCGCTGTTGGCCTATATCCTTGTCGAAGGATCCGTGACAGTGAGCGCGCCAATCGATAATTTGCCAGAAGTTGATGTTACCGTTGATGCACAAACACTTCATCCAAGTTACATCGACATACAGAGACGGTCTCAGTCGGTAGAGGGAGAGGTAGTATTCTCATTCAAGTTCAGGACGGAAACTTCAAAACCTCCCACAAGACATGACATAGACTTGACGCTGGCCTCAGTTGCCCGAGACAAGATTATGGTGGTTGTTCTAGTAAAGGCTGCAAGAAACGCTAGGCCAGCAGGCTGGATGGGGCTGATTTAGAGATTAGATATGCTTTACAACACATGCTCCCATGATAAGGCATGCAGCCTTTGTAAGGATTGAGTCTAGATTGGAAAGAAATCCGTCGCAGTAAAAAGTCCAGATGAATCAAGAACCACAATACTCAGATGCTCTTCGTCTACTGTCTGCGCTTACTATCCCCGCCTCAACTTCGGCCTCAATGTCAACCATTTCTTACCTAATTGGACCACTTACTTTCATTTCGACCTCATCTTCTTCTAGTTACAGTAGGTGTATTCCTCGAAAGTTGTCCTTCATTGGCTTGCTGTGTCACCTGGGAGGCCAATGCTTTGAGAATCCGAGAGAACTCAGCCGCAGTTATGGGGGTCGGCTCAAACCGATCTTGACCGTCTTGGAGTAGCTTATTCAGTTCCTTTTCCCTATACCATTCTCTTGTGTAGATATCAGCATTCAGAGGTTCGGCCGGCCAAGGTTGTGAGCCATTTTTTGGCTACGTAGTTGACACGCTGTGGATACCTGTGAGCCAGGGTTGAGGACGTCGGGTTGTAATCCTGTGAGCCGGTGGTGTACCCATGAGCTGTATGGAATGTTGTGTCAGTCATCTTAAACGACGTTGTACAATGTATTGAAGCTACCGTAGCCGAGCAACAGCGTCAGCCGTTGACAGAAGACCAACGGAATGATCTCTCGTACCAATACTGGGATAACGAAGAGCCTGAAGAGCCGTACATGGCCTACGAAGAGGGCATGTTTCATCCTGTCAAACTGGGCGATCAACTTGAAGATGGCAAATACACTATCATAAACAAACTTGGAAACGGCTCATTCTCGACAGTCTGGCTTGCACACAATTCCAGGACAGGGAAGAAGGTTGCTGTCAAGATTTGTATTCCTAAAAGTGAAGATTTACCGACTGGAAACGAGACTGGTATCTCCAAGGTACTGCATGGCGACTCAATCCATGATGGCCATCGCATGATAGGCTGCTATGACGGCGCCTTCCTTCACCATGGACCCAATGGGACACACGAATGCCTCGTGAGCGAGCCGACACGTGCCACGATATCAGAGAGCAAGTTCAGAGGATTCACTTTCTCTACGCAGGTTGCACGAGCGCTGGCGGCACAACTGGTGATCGGGGTAGCCTACATTCACTCAAAGCGTATTGTGCATGGCGGTAAGTTCTCGAGTTTGAACAGACATGATGATTATATTTAAGGCTAACCATGGGGATATTGCGTAGATCTCCACGGAGGAAATGTTATGCTGGCTTTGCCGGCCGGCGAGCTTGCTTCCCTGACCGTGGAAGAAATCTACACGAAGTACGGGAAACCGACCATTTTACCCATTGACCTCTGTGTGGAGTCAACCGATTTTCATGAAGAGTATCCTTTGCCCAAGAACGCGCCCCCATCCATGCTGTGGAAGATGAGACTCACGCGGGGCTGCGATGATCTAGAGCTGTCGGAGGCGCGAGCACAAATCAAGGATTTTGGAGAGTCATGGCAACCGGAGCTAGAGACACGATATGAACTCAACACACCTGAGAAATATCGAGCCCCAGAAGCAATCATTGCCAAGAAGCTGAAAATCCCCATCAGCTATCCTGCTGATATTTGGGCGCTGGGATGCTTCATCTACGAGCTTTACGCAAGGATGGACATCTTTGCTACATACACTCCCAATCACGATGAAGTCTTTGCTACAATGGCCAAGATGATGGGCAAGCCCCCAGCAGCGTGGTGGGACGCCTGGGAAGACCGTGAAAAGCTCATCGGCGATGACTTGAACTTTCTCCACCAAGGTGTGCCGATAAAGACTCTCACAGTATACAATGAGAAAGGGGAGGTCGTGCCTCAGCCTTCTCCGCAGGCCATCACAATCGAATCACAGGTGTTAAAGGAGATTCCTGAAGACCGAGGCATGAACAGAATCCCCGAAGAGAGAAACATTGTACCAGAGGAGGATTTACAGGATTTGAAAACAATGCTGCAGAGAATCTTCCGCTGGAAGCCCGAAGAAAGAGTGACTGCAGAGGAGCTAATGGGCGACCCATGGATGCAGAAATGGGGCATCCCAGCGAAGGAAGCCATGGAGGAGGCTTACGAGAAGAGGCGCAAGGAGCACGAGAAGCCCCCGTTCTTGTTGAAGTCGATGGCCATTGGTTTAGCGGTTAGCACTCTCGACAGACTAGCCTACATGCTGTCTGTATTGTCTCCAACTTTTTGGTGGCGCAATCTGAAGTGGGCTTTGGGGGCATGAGACGCTGGGCTTGTGTTCATCCATGTCTTCTGTGCCGTGTCTAGACGAGATGAAATGAGGGAGAAAAGGAAGGGAAACAATTGGAGCACTGGCGTTACCTGTAGTTACGGATCATTTGTAAATCGCATTGAAATAACAAAACTAAACATGCCGATGCCATCCCATTGCTGCCCTTGGTCACTGGAGAAAGTGGAATACTGCAACACAACGGCGCCGCTGGCCGCTTGAAGACTTCTCAACTCAACTCATACTGGAACCCACGACATGTCGGATAGAAGTTCTCGTCAATCAAATTAGCAACATTGTGATCATTATGATTACAAGGCAAGCTTCATGCTCAAGGGCAGTGAATTTTCAACGCAATCTATTCGTGATTGGTGGCTTTATTGAGGTCGAAGAGCCTAAGTGCACGAAGCATGATGCTCAAATTCGATCTCCTCGGTGAGCCGAGCGCGGAATTGCGCCGACATAGCTTCCATTAGACGCAAATTGATCCGCGTTCTAGGAGCCGAGACGAACCGATCATCTCATACCCGCGAAGTTTCCTCAAACGCAAACCGAGGTCCCGGAACCGAGAGAATACCTCAAACCCCCACACTTCAGCGAAGCTACGGGAAGGCTGCATTCCTGGCGCGTGGCTTGAGGTTTGCGGGGTAATTTAGTTAGTGGTAGAGCCAAGTGTCCAGGCGTGTCTTGTCAGGAACTTCTGTGAAAATGTGCACAAGCGATCCAAAACGCCACATTGCGAACTGTCGTTTTCGACGCAAAGTTGCTCTCAGCCAAACGCAGGTGTGTGGGGGAGAGCTCCGGGCATCCGGCGGCGTCCGCCTTCGGTTCCCAAGTCCGGTTGTCTCTGTCTCATCTGCATGACCCTACATCCACCTGCAGCATCCATCAGACCGAGAACATCCTAACCACTCGTTCCAGTCGCACCCTGATATTCAGTCCAACAGGCAAAACATTCGCTTCAGAGAGTTGACGAGGAAGACAAAGTGTGACTACGCAGCAGACAATATTACTCACACTTCCTGCATCGGCGGACGGAGTGGATCAGAGCCAAGTCCGACCCGGGGCCGGGGTGGAGTTGTGTAGCTACGATTGTGAATTAACGGGGCAAAATTTAAGATTTGATGATCCCAGAGTGAGCTCGAATTCAGTCTCGGGTAACTCCCGCGAAAGCCTTCCGGAGAATAAGAGCTTGCTTACGGATGCCGACTCTCCCAGGCATATGAGAGGTTCGCTTCGGATACGAGACGCCGTCTTTTGTCGACGGCCGTCTTTTGTCGACGGCCGTCAGTTAATATTATTCAGCTTCCCACATGACGCCGATGCCCGTTCCGCGTGGCTCTAGCCCTCAGAGGGCTGCACAAACGTGCATACTATTGGGAAGCCGCTTGCTTGCTTCGCACCAAGAGGAAACGCGGGGTTCGGGTGGGAGGTTGGGGCGACAGGCAAGGAAGCCAAGCAGCCCCAGCAAAGCAGCAAGGGATGATCAATCCCTTTTGCAAACCCCCATCCCTGCTCGATGCTACCGCTGCCGGTCTATTCCAACCCGGGCCTAGACTCGCGTTGGTGCCGTCCTTTTCGAGGACAGTCTGTGGAGTCGGGAGGATCACCGACCCTGTCGTGGACTCGTGGGTGTGAGTCGTCGCGCCGAGGTCGGGCGCATAAGAGAAAAAAAGTAATTGAGTGAGTGAGTGACCTTGCTAGACAGAAACGGTCGTGGAGGAAAAAGAATTGGTGACGAAATATAAGCTGACGGCCACCCTGAGAGATCTTCGGATCCGTCTGGTCTCTCCTTCGCTGCACCCTTAAAGTTTCTGCTTGTTCTGCTTGCCGGGTTTTGAGTCTGAGGTCGTCCTTGCTGGTTGGAGAGTTCTACTTTCGCCAACCTTACCAACACTGCAGAGCCATCGAGCCCAATTGATCCCCAAGATGCAGTTCGACAAGGAGAACAAGGCCGCAGAGTCGCCGTCGCGCTCCCTTGACCATGCGACAGACCTGGATCGACCGGTTTATGGCGACGATGCCCCCATCGAATGCCCTCCTCACACGACGGAGTCGAAGCTCATCACCAAGATCGACTTCCGCGTCATCCCATTCCTGTGTGTCATGTACCTTCTGGCCTTCCTCGGTAAGCTCTCCCCTGCTCTCATGCTGCCGCGACTCGACAGCAGCCATCGCCCGAAGCCTTTGCAATCGCCTCCATGCTGACCAGAAACGCAACTCACTAGATCGCGTAAATATCGCCAACGCCAATGTCTTCGGACTGTCAAAAGAGCTCGAGCTGGACGGCACACTGTACAACAACGCGCTCGTCGTCTTCTTCGTGCCATACATTCTCCTCGAGATCCCTTCCAACATCCTCCTCAAGAAGTTCAAGCCCCATGTCTGGCTCAGCATCAACATGTTTGGCTTCGGCCTTGTCACCATGCTCCAGGGCTTTGTGCAAAACTATGCTGGCCTCTGCACGACGCGCTTCTTCCTTGGTGTTTTTGAGACGGGCATGTTTCCGGGAGGTATGCGACCAACAATCGCCCCTTGGTCAATCCCATGCGTTCATAAAGCTGACCGACATCTCTTTTTCCAGCGTTCTACCTCATCGGCATGTGGTATCGTCGCCACGAAGCGCAGCGCCGCTACTCCTTCTTCTTCAACAGCACCACCCTCGCCGGCGCATTCGGTGGTCTCCTTGCTGCAGCGATCGGAAAGATGAGCGGCGTCCGCGGCTACGCCGGCTGGCGCTGGATCTTTATCCTCGAAGGCCTCCTGACTGTTGTCGTTAGCGTCTTCTTCTTTTTCTGGCTGCCCGACTTCCCAGAGGACGTGAAGTGGCTCAGCGAAGACGAGAAGGCCTTTGTCTCGGCTCGCTTGCGCGCGGACCAGGGCCGCTCTGCTGTTGAGCGTAAGATCACCATCCGCGACGTCGGACGCATCTTCAAGGACTACAAGGTTATTGTCGGAGGCTTCATGTACTTTGGTCTCATCGTTCCGGCGTACGGGTATGCCTACTTCGCACCGGGAATCATCCAGACCTACGGATACGACAGCATCCAGACGCAGCTGCACAGCGTGCCACCCTGGGTTGTTGCTTTTGGCTTCTCGATGATTGTTGCCTTTATCTCAGACAAGACGCGACACCGCTTCGGATTCGCAATCTTTGCTATCTGCGTGGCAATCGCTGGATTCGCCATATTGATTTCCGTTCACAACAACACGTCTGTGCAGTATGCGGCGCTGTTCCTTGTCGCAATGGGCGCGTACACCGCCATGCCAATGTAAGTCCAACCAACGCATAATACATGCTCTGTAGATGTGTTGAGAACTGTGTGCTAACTCTAGCCTTCTAGTATTGTTTGTTGGTTCAACATGAACTTGGGTGGCCACCACCGACGTTCTATTGGCAGTGCTTGGCAGGTTGGTTTCGGCAACATCGGCGGTATCATTGCTGTGTTCGCCTTCTTAAAGAAGGATGCGCCAAAGTACATCCCTGGCTACAGCATCAGTATCGCTTTCGTTATCCTCAGCGGCCTTGCATGTTTGGTGTATGCCATTGGCTGCTGGTCTGCAAACAAGCACAGAGATCGCACCGCGGCGGAGTCATCGTTGACGGAAGACGAGAAGATGGAGCTCGGAGATATGTCTCCTGATTACAGATATCTGCTGTAGGTATCTGTCTCAAGATAAAGTAGGAGTTGCCTTGATGGTTGACCTGCATAATGAAAATAATTCCTCTGCATAAATTGCTTATGCTGCCACGCCGTTTCGATGCATCAACATCCGGTCTTGATTAGGACCTACACGCTACCGCCCACCTCCTACAATAATTGGCATCCGACTGCTGAATCATTTGGGTAATAGATCAAGGCTGCAGCCTTAGAACAAGCTCTCCAACTTCACAACCTTCGTCGTGTTCAGGTCACCTTTAGACTATGTTGTTGCAGTAGAGTTGAACTGTTCGCCCCTCCTGGATTTTGATCTACATCGCATACGTATTACTTTAAGCATTGTGCATATCTACGCAAGGATAGCTTTCAACTTCCAACAGCTCTCAATCACCATCATCGCCCACCTCGAGATGTTGAGCACATGCGAAAGCAGGGAACAGTCGCAAACACCAACCGGTCACCAACATATGGGGCATTGTTGGACGTGATCCGCCGAGTGGCACACATCCCATTGGTTCATCAGGCGCTCTCCAAGGAGCCGTATGCCGGGGCATTTATCAATTCAGCGGGGTTTGCATGCGGCGTAACACTGTTGGTCCAACAAACATGCACAGTTCCCGTTGGTTTTCGCTTCCGTGCCGCGCCCGCCCGCTTTTTCGCGCTGGTCGCCTCAGATGGTCGTCAATTAAGAATTTCATCCAAAAGGTGCTACTCTCTCCTGCGCAGACTGCAACATCTGGTCCCTCCGGTATCAAATAGTACACAGAACTGCCAATGTGTTGTGTGAGTCCGCAACTTACCCCGAACCAGCGCAATGCTCCCGGAAGCCCTTGTTAGCGTGTACCAGTTGTACAAGACGGACACGGACTTCATCACTACTTGGCTCGCGACCACGGCACGAGCGTACGGTTGTCCTGCAGAGCTCATATCAGGGCTTCGAGACACGAAAGACGACAAAGCTGACTCGGCTCCTGAAGATGATAAGCCAACCGGCCAACACAAGGGCAAGTCAACCAGGGAAGCACCAAAGTCATCGCAGAAGAAACCTCGCAAACGGTACATCCTCGCAGTCAAGGATCTCCTACCGCTGGCTCAGTTCCTCGCAGCATCACAGAAGCCAGCCATCACCCCTCCGGACAGTCTCACCGCCGCTCTTGATAGAGTGATCGATCTCAGGGCCAAGTTTAGCACTCAATTGGTTGAGCATGGTGCCACGACCAACGCTCAAGACGACAGCACCCACTTTTACTTCCTCAGGGTCTTGTGTCAAGTACGCCATGTTTTGACAGCTCAGCGAACTGCTTCCCCAACCAGCACAGCAGCCTCAACTAGCGATGCTGCCGAGAAGCCACAGCCATCAGCCAACAAATTTGAAGGGCTACTTGTGTCTGAGCCGTCCGCGCAGTTCATCAACGCCCCAGATGCACCTCCACCAACGAGACCAGCAAAGTCGGAGACCGATGCCAACTTCGAGGCCGAGAGCGAGATGTCGAGCTGGGATGCTCAGTTCGTGTGGCAGCTGGTTTGGAAAGACCTTTACGGAATGCGTCAGAGGGTCAGGTACATGTGGCAACAGTTCCGAGAAGGACGCCACGAGCTCGTGTCCGTTGCATTGGCCACCAACACCGCCATCGACCTTGCCCGTAACATTGTCGAAGATGTCGCGCCAGTACTTCATTCTCAGCCAGGGGGCCTGTTCGGGGTCATCTGTCTCTACAATGCCACGTTCACAACTACGAAAATCCGAAAGTACTCGGAGGGCCTGCTTCGTTTCCCAGAGAAGCCAACAAAGGAGGAGATTGCGTACGTTGCGGGCGTCCTAGACTGCACCAACGCTTACAGCATGCTGCAGCAGCTCCTTCCAAAAGATCAAGGCGCCATCAACCCACCATTAGTCACAAAAGGCAGTCCAAAGATCAGATTAGCAAGGACACATGGTGACTTTGTCATTGACCGGAACGCGATCTCTGGTGTTCTTCACGATATGAACTTCATCATTCGTTACATCCCAGACTGGCCAGTGGATGATGGCGTCTTGCGAGGGTTCCGAGAAACAATGCGGAGGAAGGAAATCCCCTTCTACTTTGCGTATGCAGTCCAACTTCTCATTGACATTCATGGAGTCATGGGACAGAACCTGCCGTCCATCCGAGTACAGTTTATGCGAGGGTTGTCGACACTGCAAGAGCTCATGACACAGGCGTGGTACATCCACCAGAGCACAAGAATGGACCCAAAGGCACTCAGATGCTTCCCGCTTCTCCAACGCACGGTAATGAGCATGTCCAAAATGACACGCGACCCCATTCTCGTCGAGAAACAGCGGCTCAAGAAGCCCATTGCGGATCCCGCTCTGGAACGCTTGGGATTGATGAAGACTGACCCCGTCATGGCTGGTCTGGTCATGTATACCTTCCGAGCAGCAACATATCGAGTTGGAATCTGCCTTGCAAACGACACACTTTCCGTCATGTCGACCATGCATCTCTACAATGCTTTGTACCAAGAAGGTCTGCTCAAGTCCAAGTGGTGGGACATAGAGCTTATTATGGAACTGGCCGGCAAGTCCCAGTTCTACGTGGGAAACCCCCCAAGCGACCCGACCGGATACATCAAGAGCTTTCTCATGCAAACCGGCCTGAAGAGCGTGTACATGAGTCAGCTCAAAAGGTCAAAGACGCAGACGAAGTTGTACAAAGAACTCAAAAACCGAAGACGTATTTCTGAAGGAGCGACTGTTTCTATGATGTTCTACGAGAGGTACTGCAACGAGAAAGGCGAGACTTCGACAGGAAACTTCACTGCTAAAGACATCCTACGCATCCTCGACCATTGCCCGGAGGGTTTGTGGTTTGACCACCCTCAAGAAGGACCCGAGAGTGAGAATCAGGACAAAGGCTCCAAAAAGTCGACGCAGAAACGAAAGAAGCCCGCAAAGCCCGCCAAACCTAGCCCACCTCCCTACGATATCATCACCTCCCTAGGGGTCGGACTCCTAGACGAAGCGGCAGAGTTTGGGTTTCCCTGGCTAGCCATGCATCGCAACGCGTGGCACTTGATGCGGAAGATTCGAATGGCCAGCGAACGTACCTTCATGATGTTAGTTCCAGGCTACAGCATGTCTGAAGCCGGGCTGATGACGCTCACCACGTACATCCTGGACGTTTTGGTTCATGCTAGGCCGAACGACTCTTTGGGTAAACGGGTTACTGAGGAAGTGACGGCTACGTTCAATCATTACCTCACCTATATCCCGAAGGATCACGGCTGGTCAGCTGGCGAGACGGTGTGGAGGGAGATGGAGATTGCCCTCGGCGTTGGACTCCATATGTACGAAAGGGTTGTCGGGAAGGTTACGCAAGATGGTGAGTCTAAGGAAGCGCCACCGCCTAAAATAATCACAGACACGGCTGTTCCGGTGTGTTGATGATTGTCTTTTTCGATTATCTCGCATGTGGGCTACATGGGTAGATGTTTCTAGTCAAGGTCCGGGTGCGATTTTGTATTGTAGGCCTCATTCCTTGTTGGCGGTAACTTTACGGTAGAATTCTCCTTGTAATCTCACTGAAGTTTGGTCTGAAATGACTGTCTTCTATCGAGAGTTGTACTTGTGTCCCTTCCGACTCCATGATAGTTTCACGATACACATGGGCATGATGAACCAGAACGACTGAAACTTTGTGGCGTGCAAAGGCAATCGAAAGTCATCTATCTAATGGAAAGTAGACGACGTCGCGTTCTCACATGAGAGCCGCGCCGTACTTGCTCTGGGAGAATGTTGCCCCGCGCCCCACTACGTCATGAATTATCCCGCATTGTTAACTCTTTCAACATCATCATGCTTAGCTTGTCAACTCATCCCGCAACTTATCTCAGCATTCCAATCAACACAATCATCACTCTGATATTTTACTTCACTCCTCTTCCATTTGAGATCTCAAAATGTCTCTCACGCCAGATTCCAAAATACTGCAACGCTGCGTCGAGCTTGCAAGAGAAGCCCTCGAAGCCGGCGACGATCCCTTCGGCTCCGTGCTCGTGAGCGGAGACGGCAAAATCCTTCGCGAAGACCGCAATCGTGTTAATACCGGCGAAAATGGAGACGGAAAACGCGACGGGACACTACATCCGGAATTCACTCTCGCCCGATGGGCGCAACTCAACCTTAGCGCCGGGGAACGGGCCAAGGCTGCGGTGTACACTTCCGGCGAACACTGCCCGATGTGCGCTGCGGCCCACGCATGGGTTGGACTTGGACCCATTGTCTACGCCTCTTCGAGTGCGCAGTTTGCTGGTTGGCTCGAGGAATTTGGGTTGAAGGCGGGTGCCAAGGTCAAGCCACTTCCTATCAATGATGTTGCGCCGAGTATTCCGGTGCAGGGTCCCATTCCCGGCCTGGATGAGGAAGTGAAAGCTCTGCACAAGAGAAGGTTCCAAAGGTCATCGTAATGAGAACAAGGTCGCTCGAGGCTTGCAGAGCAGATAGCTGAGGCATATGACACATCACGCGACGGAACCGTCACTTGCGCGGAACCGTCACTTGCGCGGAACCGTCACTTGCGCGGCCACAAGTCGAGGAAGTTATTTCTCGATGCGACAGTGTGAGTGTCTCGGTAACATAAGAATGTTGTTATTGAGGCTCTAACTATATATGAGCATCAATTATCCATCGCAATGCATCTTAGGCTTCGGGCAACCGCAAGACTCGTGTTTGTCTAACTAAAGCGCCTTCATCACCGAGGTACCGTCCGCTCTCGTAACTGTGGTGAAGGTCAGTGACTCAGTGATGTGAAAAGTGCTTGAGGCTCAGCAAGATACGAACCTCCAGTGAAGATTGCCAAGGGCGACATCACGACAACCATCGAGGTACCGAATGACCTCCTGATCGACCTTTTCTCCGCAGATTGGCATCTTCGATAGAGCCAGATACCAATCCCGATAGCATTCATCGATCATGTCTCCGATCTCATCAATGGCCTCCTGAGTAGAGTGCCCCTGAGATTTCAACAATGCGATCAAGTTGTGCTGTACACCTTGTTCCTACATGGGTCATTGTCAACAGCTAGTCGGAATTGAAAATCGCACTCGACTTACCAAATCTTTGCGATATGATAGGATGTCATTGACACTATGTGAGAGTTAGCCAACAAAGCCGAAGAACATTACCGTGCCAACCTACAGAATTACTAGGTCGGCCGAAATACGTCTACATTTTTGCAAGCTCTCGTGGTCTATGACCTTTGAAGGCACGTTTATGCCGTGACAAAATCTGTAGATCGTGCCGTCAGCCCACTCTTCACTTATCTGTCCTTCGGGAAGACACTCACTCAACCAACACATAAGATGGCTGACATCCGATAGTTCCTCTTCGGAAGCCCATGTACTCCTCGACAGTAAGAGCCATGGCGGACTTGGAGGTTTGAACTTCAACTTGACTCAGCAGACCGGAGAAGTAGTATTTGATGGAAGCTTTGTAACGTTCCTGCAACTCTATGATGTTCGTGTTAGCAAAATTGGGTTCTTGGCCTAATTCTGAAAAGCATAACAATGTTGCAAAGAATCCAATACCTTTCGTAGACCTCTGCATGTAAGAGCGCGACTGTCAGCAACATACTATTGAGTGAAAAGTACAGTGCGACCATGTCAAGTTGGAAAGCATACCTTTTTGAACCGATCCCAAACACTCTGAAAAACATATCTAATTGGGTTGTCATGGTGCTGAACTGGGGCTTGGCTGTCTTCTAGCACCGCAAAAGTGGCATGCAGCTCCTCCACTGCCTTGATAGGGTCGTCCTTCAGATGGCCTTCATCAAACTCTGTAAACAGTCAGCGGGCTCAGGTGAAGGGACATTGATATGGTTCGCTCACGGTCGTCGAATGCAAACACCTGACGATTACATTAGCCCAATGTTATCCGATGGAATCATCCCTCATCCGAAGTGTGACGTACCCAATTGTTCCAATCGATCATCGTTCGATATGCTTCTTCATCAGCGTATGGTACCCACATCGCATTCATGAACGCGAAGTTAGCCTGAATGTTTCTTCGAGCTTGAGCTTCACTGAGACCGAGAATCCTGCGACCAGTCTCAGTCAGTATTGCTCGGAGATGATTCTCTTCAAAGTCTTTACTAACTTTTCAATCCAACTATCTGCCTCCTTTTTCACCTTTTCGTATTTAACGTTGATTACGGGCTTCACAGACATAATCGAAGAGAAGAAGTCTGGAATACGGACATACTTGGCATTTACTTCGTCAGAGTTGATGCCAATATGCGCGCGTATATCTAACGTGCTTCCGGCTTCCGAGGACGCAGTGAAAGCCTGAGATGAAGAAAACGAGTCTGTGAAAGTCGAAGAAGAAGAGACTGGAGAGACTGTAGAGCCTGGAGACATCGTTGACTCTCCATCATCTTCAATGTCGAGGTGGATTAGATCCACTTGACTCTTTTTGGACATGTTGGGTATGCCATCAGAGCCGTTTCCAACGCCCATTTGCGGGCTTACGAAGAGGAAAGACTCTGGAGGGATCATTATGGCTTCAATAAAAAAGTCTTGGGAGTGAATCTTGTAATCAGGTTTGAAAGAGGCTTGAGGGACTGAAGATAGATTGAAATGAGCAACGATGAAGAACGGAACACGCTGCTTTTCAGTTCATCCAGAGATATCCACACAGTTCGCTTGGTTGGTTCATCAGTTCAAGCGACAATTGAAGATGCCCGACGCCGTCCCTCAATCAGCTGCATCGTGATGACTCGGCTATGGGTCTTCAAGACTTGTCTTGCGGTATCGCTATCCGCCTTTACGAGGGTCATCTCCCCTGGTTCCTGTTGCCTCCACAATTGGACACCCACCACACTAAAAGATACTTGCGACTGTGCCGCAAGACTTCAGCTCGGCAAGAAAAGAACTTTCGTTCACGTCAAGTAAGAATTCGTCATCCTCGTCGTCCTTATCGGCAACTCCGTTGGTGGGAAGCCTTTCGTAAGATTGAGTCTACTGTCTCGGACTTGTCAAGTTGTTGTGAGTTACCTAGATCAGCTTCTAGTCGAGCAAACATGTCTCAGCTTCTTACGAGTGATCTCTACCTGGAATGGCTTCTATACTAGTTTAATCTACGCAAAAAGGAAGTTTTGCCTTGTTCAATCCCTCGATCAAGAAAGAAAGAAAGATGCTAATCTCGGAACACTTGACCTGGAAACTGGGCTTTCTCGTAGAAGAGCAAGTAATGCCGATCAGAGTCCGCGAATGAAAGCTTAACACTAATGAATACGGGTACTTAGTAGCTTCACAGGATTCTAACGTTGGAACGGTCTATGCGTGACATGTCTGTCTAACCGAGTGTGGTGTACAAGCTTACGAAACATGTAACTGCGAGTTGTCCAAGGTGACTCTATCCCGCCAGCAAGAGAACTGATGGATGTTCCAGACGAAGACATAGCCCATATTTCCATACATGGCATGCGTTCTAACGGAAGTCAAGTCTCCAAATTGACGCCTTCTAGGGATTCTAGCCTTTGGAGCACCAAATGACGTCTGGCCCTGGCTCGCATTCAAGGAATTGTTGCCCAAAGAAGCTTAGATCTCCATGTCTGCTATCATGGATTGTCATCAAATGCCAGGCGAAACATACATAACATCAAATCTCGTCTGATGCCCCTTGTCGGTGCTCGCAAAGTCCCCATATCATCACATCATCGCTCGCAGGCGTTGGACGACTGGCGTGTCCAGCGAGTCTGTAAGTCACCGGAGTTATCATTCTTCAACTTACACCCCTGTCAAATTCCCAGGTAGCGGGAGTTGAATCCTTAAGTTGATGTTGCGCTTCCCAGTGATGACAGTTGACAGGGGCTTTATCGGCCTTCTTCCGACCTGGGAAAAGCGATCATCGTCGACGAAAAGTCAAACGCCACAGGCAGAAAACTCCACAGGTGTTTGCTTTGTGGCGTCAGCTGAAGTAGGTTTACATGGGTGTTCCTACTAGTCGATACTGATTAGAGTGAGTCCCCGAACCTTCCGACTGGGTACTGGATATTGCGGATAATCGGCCCACACCAGATTGGGCGTATTGTTTGCTTGCTGAATGTGACACGTACCCAATCATCCTCATACACGTTGCCATCCCTCCGGATTTCTCGATAGATATGTATTGCAGAGCGGTTGAATGGTCTTACAGGCTGGCTTCGCCCTGCGGGAACTGGGTGGGCTTTCCAATGATTGTTGGGTACATGACCCGTGCCAGATGGAGTTCGCCAAGTTGACAAACATTGTTTGGCCTGCTACACCGCGTGACCGCCTCCGCGTGACAGGGGCACTTAATGCGGTAGCAAACAATGGTGATCTTTCTTACGTTTCTTTGATGAACATCTGCAGACTGCGCGGTTCAGAAGCTCAACACCGTCAAACTGATACATGTTGGCAGAAACAACATCTCAAATTCGTCTTACCTAGATCTTTCCAGAATCAAGGACGATAATAGGGCTGTGCCCTCAGAGATCCATTAGAAGATAAGAAACCTTCGGGACTACACTCCGACACTCGACTTTAGAAACAAGTCTCGCGCCATCATCTGGGTCGTGTTCGAGAGGAATCTTCCAAGGACCAACCTAGTTGAGCCATCTGCCTTTCTTCAATTTTTACAATGGCTCTATTTCAACTGCGCGACATTCTTTTTTCGCCAAGAATTCTTGCCCTGTGCTTTTCTGTGTACCTCATAATCGGTGTTCTCTATAGAATCTTCTTCCACCCCCTTAGGAAGATTCCTGGTCCTTGGTATGCTGCAGCAACATATTGGTACGAATTTTACCAAGATGTGATTCTCAATGGCAACTACATCAAGAAGTACCCTGATCTTCACGCCAAGTATGGTGAGCAAACTCTCCGAGATTTACAGAGGCGTTCTAGGCTTTGTCATTTGCATACTGATGAGCGATGCGCTGTTTAGGATCGGTGGTTCGAGTGTCTCCCAGTCGTGTGCACATCAGTGATCCTGACTACTTCAAGGAGTGAGTAAAGCGCTGTCTATCATCTAATGCCTTCAAGAGAGACGCTACTTATTCGGCTTACCAGGCCTTACGGAAGTGGTACGAAATATACCAAGGATCCCGACTTCTTCCAGAGTGCTGGCGGTATCAAGTACTCCATCATCATGTTGATTGATCCCGAGGTTCATAAAGAACGAAAGAACACGGTCCAATCTCTCTTCTCGACCAAACATGTAGACCATTTGGCGCCCGTCGTTCTGGATGTTGTGCAGAGAGCAATGGCAAAAGCACAGCGTGCCTTCAAGAACGATCAGCCGATTAACTTGCAACCATTTTACCAATGCATTACTGTGGGTTTGTTCCTCAGTCCATCTACATGATTGCAACATCGAGCTTCAGGATGTTACCTGCGGTCTACTGAGACTACAATGTTGAGTGCTAAACAGCTTCTAGGTTGACACTATTATGCCTGTCTTGTTTGACAGACAATTGAATTTTGTTGATTCCGACGAAGATGAGCCACCGTTTTTGAGCATGTTGGGCAAGTTTGTTGACAAATTCTTCCTCACTAAGCACTTTCCCATGATCAGCCACATTGCTATGAGTCTACCTCTTAGCGTAGCAAGGACGGTTTTGCCGGATTATGTCGCTTTTCGAGAGGTTAGTGTAGTTATCACAATTTCTTCTTGATCGTCAAATTTCAATATC